AAAACTGATGTCAAATAAGAATAGAAATGTATGTACAAAACACATTCAAACAAGCACAACACAAAAACCACTTAGGGCCGGTTGCTCAAAGCCTGGTTGACACTAATCCCCGGTTAAACATCGTTATCGACGTTACCGACATCGTGTTATATGCATGGAGTCGAAAACGTCGATAACGATGTTAACCGATGATTAGTGTCAACCAGGCTTTGAGCAACCGGCCCTAAGGGCCTGGTCAACCCTTAGGGCCGGTTGCTCAAAGCCTGGTTGACACTAATCCCCCTTCAAACATCGTTGTCGTCGTTACCGACACCGTGTTATATGTATGGAGTCGAAAACGTCGATAACGATGTTAACCGGTGATTAGTGTCAACCAGGCTTTGAGCAATCGGCCCTTAGAGTCGTTTTCACCATCTCTGGTTAACACTAATACCCAGCTAAACAACGTTACCGACGTTACAGGCCCCATGCATATAACATTGTGTCGATAACGTCGGTAACGATGTTTAACTGGAGATTATAGGGAATTTACATGAGGCGATTTTTCAGGCGATTTTTAGTTGAAAGCAACCAGGCGATTGGTGTAAACGGCCTTTCAACTAATCGCTTTCAATGAAGTTGGTCGGCTGCCACTTTCGTTCAACTTTTGGTTCAACTAATCGCTTGTGAAAGTTGAATCATGTAAATTCCCTATTAGTGTTAACCAGAGATGATGAAAACGGTCCTTACTATATCAATTACTTTTTGCCTCCTTCCATTTTCAACTCATTTTTTTAGTTTAGTTTATTCTTTGATTTCCGTTAAATTAAATTCAGTTGAGTTTGACACTTTTCAAGATTTTGCAAGCAAAAATTCTTCTGACTAAATCTGACTACTTCGGCCTATTGCTGACTATTTCTGGGAGATAAGGAAGGCATCTACTATCTGCATCAAAAATAACATTTTGAAATTATACGCTAACGTTATTTTCACGATTAGGGTCAGCGTTGCCGTTTTGATACAATTGTATCATTTTTGATACTTTTATTCTAAATTGTAAGATTTGGTACTTTGATACTTTTTTGTTCACAAATGTCCCATTTTTATACTTTGCTGGCTGGCAGAAATGAATTTTTGAAAACTATGAATCATATTACTAGTTTAAAGACAACCAATTTTTTTCTTGTTATTCAAAGTCTTATGGCCTTGTTCGTAAAAAATTAAGTAGCTTTATAAAAGGCTTATAAATCGAAAAAATTTGTGAAAACGTCCATTTATAAAGCTCTTTAAACCTTCTTTATTTTTTATGAATAAGGCCATTAAAATTTATATATAGATATTTATAAGTTTGATTTGGTAACTCTTATAAAAGAAATACAACCTGGAATTGCGATGCACACGCCGCTGTTATAGGGCTCCTAAACCGCGCAAAAACATTGCACAATATCGGGCTTATGTCGGTCGTTTGTATGGTGTATGGGATTGTTTGTACAAAATTGCACAATTAATGCGCTAAAATAAAAATCATTTTGATATTTTGCTCATGCTTATGTTATTGTACAATAATTTGTGCTGCGTATGGCGACAAAAGCGCAATTTTTAGTGTCGTTTTGATTTTGGTGTCCAGATCGTGCTGTAAAATATGGGTAAGAGCGTGGAAAAAAAATATTTTTTTTTAATATTCTTTTTTTTGCGTTTTAAAGCTGAAACTATCAAAATATACAAAGCGCATTCTTGCACATATTAACTTGATATAAGTTTGTTTTTCGTTATGCAAATAAGCATACGGATTCTCTGATTTTATTAAAGCAAGTAATATTTTTTTTTTTGCAACAATGGACGTAATTATAAAATTTTATTTATTTGTTTTTCAAATAAAAGTTTAACAAATAACAGTTTTATTTGCTTTTGATACTTTGTGTGCTCGGCAACTGATACTATTTTTTTAAGCTCGCGGCAACGCTGGTTAGGGTTCGCTGTTTTGGCAATTTTTTTATATTTTGTTACACAAAAAAGAAATAAGTGAAATACATTTGTATGTATTAATGTCAAATATTAACTGCTGTTCGGAGAAATTTACTTAAAAACAATAAATCCTCCACTTTTTTAATTTTACCAAAATTTACCAAAAAAATTAAAAAAAAATGTTCCCATTTTCATGCAAACAAACCTACACAATTTAAAACAGTTTTCTGAAAGATTTAATTTTCTAAAAAAATTAAATTCAACTGTACCAAACTCTGCAACCGCCGATTGAACCATTTTTAGCGCCCTCTGTACGCAGTTAGCCAAATGCCCGCAAAGTGAACTTGGCAACACTGTTTACCGAGCAGCTGATCGAAACTGCGCAAAATGAGCGCCAGCAATTCAAAGCCGTCATCAAAATAGAGAAGCTGAATAGTAAACAAAATTTTCTGCATACGAAAAATATTAACAAAATAAGTTGGTTAAACTAAAACAGGAGCGTGAAAGCTACGAAATGTTTTTAACTATTCAGAAGAAAAGAAAATTGGTAAGATACAATCTATTTTGCACACAAAAATAGCAAGCTTATTAAGGGACAGTTTTGCTAAACATTTCCTCACTCTTTCAGTTCATAACCCTCGTGAAGCGCATGACACAAATGCAAAAAAAGTACGAACGTGTATCCAATAAATTTGAAAGGGTGCTGGACGAGAGGCATTGCGCATATGTTGAACTACTACAGGTGGGGAAGGACATCCTTAAGCTCGGCAGAATTATCATGTATTTGGGTCGGTCAGTGCTGCGTCAGCAAACTGCGGAACTGGAGAAACTCAAGGAAATATATGCGGCGCTGAGGAATGATGTGTGAATGGTGTCGGTGGCGGCGGCAGCGGCAGGTTAGGCAGTAAACATGCGCAGTTTCTGATGAAAGTCTCAAGTGACTTGCGCAGTTAGGCTGCGTAATTTAAGTGCTTTAACTTATGTTTTTAGTAAATAAAGGAATTTATTATAAGTTTTTTGTACGTAAAAAGTGTGTACAAGTTTATGGAATGTGTTGATAAGGTGTGTATCTGGTTTCCTTGTTGTAAGGCAGGTATAGCGCTTAAATGCAAGATAAGACTGCTAATGTTTCTTTCAGCCATATAATGCGTACCTATGTACGTCCATAATTTCCCTTTTAAGTCTAGGTTCACAAACGACAAAATGGCGTAGGCATAAATATGTATAGAGATGGCGGGTGAAGGAGGTTGTCGAGAATTTAAGGGACCTCAGTCAGAATCATTCCAAATTGGAGTCTCATATTCATGATCTTTATAATGAAAAGTAATGTGCGGACAGAAAATTTACGGTTTCGCAACCCACAATTTTCAATTGTGCATTATTAAAACAAAGGCGATATTTCGGAAGTTTAAAATACCTCTGGCGAAATACATTCATACATATCGTTAGTATAGTATGGAAAGGGCGTAAATCGTCGCCGAAATACAAAAAGCGGTAACTTACTAAAAATCCAAAATTCGCTTGGTTCGTCAAATTATAAGTGCCCTCATCATTTTATACAATAAAAAAATTTAGTTGGGGCTTTTTTTGCACTCCAGCGACGATGTGAGATACACCCTTTCCATACTCCAGTAACGATATGTACATATACATATGTACATCGAAATCAAGTAAGGTCATTCTTACATCCAAAAAGTATTCTACGAAATCTTCCTTTTTTGGCAAATCTTCTAAGAGACCTTTTATTGAAGGCTAAGGACTATCGATCGAAAGGCATCGCTAAAGAAGCAACTGTCTTGACACTATCAGATTGATTTTTTACACCTACATAAAAATGCGCTCCTTGCAAGCCAAAGTTTCCAAAATCTCAAAGATTAGCGAAAGTTTGTTACGAATCCTGTAACGATTTCTTTACGAATCATCAAAGAAAATCATATGAAATGGTTGACACGAACGAAAAAAAATTCCTGTAGGACTTCTGCTCCGACAAAAATTAAAACAATGGCGTCCATAGTTTTCATTGAGGAAGCACATCTTCAAACTTTTGTTGAAGCCGAAATCGTAGACTGCCGCGTTTTGAGAATTAAAAAGATTAATAAACGGATTTCGTAAAATTAAAACAGAAATTAATGTAAAAATTTCCGGTTTCGGCAAAGTTTTCAGTGAAGAATGATTTTGTACAGATTTTCTTCCGAAATTTCGTTAAAGAATCGAAGTGGAAAGGGAATAAATAATTTCCTTTCGAATTCTTGAAGAAGTCTTTACTATTCAGAAATTTGTCTGAAAGCATGATTTGCTGGGCTAAGACATGTTTATTAGGCCTAGTTTATCATTCAATTTGTGGTATGTGTCTTGATATTTTCTCCAAACCGCAGAGGGTTTATTATGAGGTGACATTCCTCGGAGGTTTCCTGCTGCTTACCAAGGGAACAGGACACTTTTAGAAAAAGCTGTTTTGCCGCTTAGATTTAGCACAGACCCGTCATCGACGCCAATAGTTCTACATTTTATTTTATTAATTTTAGTAACCGACCTATGGCATGACACCAAAACCGTCTCCCATAGACTCGGAGGAAACAGAACTGCCGAGACCAGATGCACCCTAGCACAACTCCGTTCGGGGTGGTGTCACCGACTAAACAGCTACCTTTCTCGGTTGAACACACAAGTGGCAAAGAGCTGCCCCGCATGTGGGCAAGGTCCCCACGACACCTATCACCTCTTCACATGCACCAACGACCCTACGACCCTGACACCAGAAGCGCCTATCGACGCTGCCCGTTTTTCGGTCTCAGGCTTACAGAGTCGGAGGATGAAGACGACGATACATGACAGAACCTGGGGAGTTGAACACTGCTGCTACAACAACAACAACATGACACCAACTGCACGGATCTCTCATCGACTGTGGGAGAGGAGTGTAAGGTCCTAACTTTACTACTGCGTCGGCCTAATAATTCCACTTTTTTTACTTTAATCATCGACCTACCATATGTGTCTCAGCAGACCCGGGAACTACAGCTACAACCACGGAACCGAATTGACGCGGGTTTATAGCTGGCCAGAAATTATAACTCCAGCAACATTTCCTTAAAACTTTGGTGAATTTGCATGTTGCTACAGCAACAACCTCCCTCATTTCAACTAGGAGTCAAAAATACCCGTGGTTGTCTACAGAAGCAGTAAGGAGCCCTTTAGTTCTTTGAATTTCAAAGCAAATATTCTATAACTTCTTGCTCCGCCCTGCATCCGAATCAATGCCAAATGGAAGCCCAACAGTTATTTCCATCCTAAGTCACAAGAGCAGCAAAAACGATAATGCATTTCCGGAATGATTAGACACAAATTGGTAATGCTAGTGATGCTATCGCCCGCAAAAGAGTAAAACATTTCCTCAAAAATTGTACCCGCTTGTTTCCAGGAAATATTGTAAGCTAAAGTACATATAAAGCGTTTTAAAAACATTAAAGCCAAACAAAAGCTTACGCTTAAAACCTGTGGAACAAACATACCGACAATTTAAGGAGCGGATCCAGCAGCTAAAACTCAGGCTCTAAACTTTGAAGTGATGTTGCTAAAGATAGGATTTTGCAATTGCTTGACTCGAACACTATGCTAGCGGAGCGCCAGGACTTAAGCCAACATTCATTAAAAAAACACGTGCCTCATTTAAATGAATGTCCCACACTGAACGGTCATACAATGAATGCCATGCAACGTCTCTAGCAAAAATTTTACAAAATCAACAAGATTTACTAAAAACGGAAACCACAGCAGCAACAAAAAGGAAATAGACACATACAAACCTACATATAACTGAAAAAAAGTTTGGTGAAAATTGTAAGTGACTACTAACCTCGCATACTCCAGCAATATGCAAATTAAATTGACGACAAATTGTGGTAAACACTTTAAATTTCACTTTAAAACCAGTTTGAATATTAAAGAACCACTAAACAACAAATTTTTCACCCTTTTAACACTTTTTAAAAATACGCTACACCACTCGCTATAAAACGCGCAAATTAACTAACAACTTCCGCCAAAAATTGACAAATCTCAACAGCGCGCTGCGACCTCTAGCGTTCAGCAGCAAAGCGCTTGATATAGGTTGCATTGGAGCGCTGATAAGAACGAGCTGGCAACATTGCGGCGTAACAGCTGTTTAGCAATCTATAGATAAATTTAAAATTTGGAAAACAGACCGATGCATCTTGGAAAAGCATCACCGCGCGTAACTGTTAACTGATTTATTAAAAAGCTGAACTGTAATTAAAAACAGTCACATATTTTACAATTCGTATTACATTCACGCGAACACTCAGCCAAATGTCGCATAACTCTTCCAACATGTCGCTTGAAGATTGGGTAAGTTGTCACTTGATACTTTTTTTTGGGGTTCTGAGTGTTGTTGGCGGGACCAGGTCCCTAGAAAGCCAGGTTATCCCTCCAATTGATACTTTTTGATTTATACGTGCAATCTTGTCGTCACCACAGACCGATAACATTAACGCCCGCTTGGATGTCATCTACAAAGAGCTATGCGATTTCGAGCAAAGCGTCAATGCACAAATGGAACCGGGCGATACAGAGGAGGTAAAACTTATGGAATTACTAGAAGCTGTAAATGAAATCCAACGCACTGCGCGCAGCATACGTCCGATTACGAATACTTTCAAAGATAAACAATCGCAAATGCGTGAACAAATGGAAATGTTACAGCGTACGGTTGAGTTATTGCATTTGGAGAATAAAACGAGCGCGGTAGAGGTTAAACCAGCGATGGAGGAGTGACAGTTTGTCATATCTTCCAGTGCCATTAAACTATACTGATGGAAGCGGCGCAAAACCTCGGGAACTAATGCATTTAACCGAGTTAATTTTAAGAATTTTTCAAAAAAGAATTTAGGGTAACCTACGTATTGTTTTGTATATTTTATGTATGTATGTAAGGTAAGTTTACGCTCCATGCTGCCGAACTGCGCACTTTAACCCTAAAACCATAACGTCCATCCATCCCACGTTAACACCAAGTATGCGTAAATTTTACGTAGTGATTAGAATCGGCCTGATACAATCCAATTTGCCCCTAATTGATAATTTTTATAAAACGATTTAATCTTAAAATAAAGTACAAAATTTTAAAAGAATTAATTTTAATTTTATTTTATTAAAGAAAAGACAAGGAATAAATTAAATTTCATTGACACATGCGATGTGCTTTCGCATTTGTGTATACACAAAAATACGTTGGCTACCGTTACAGCCTGGCACATTTGCGCAATCACAATTTGAAAATTGTATATGCGTAAAATTTACGTATATTATGGTTCCACGGTTAAGATAAGTCAGAATTTCTTAATGTGGTTTTTAAGCGTAATAAATAGTCTATCAGTAAAAAGTAGTATTAGTTTGCTTTCTACGAGTTGACAGAGTTATTACTCAGCTGAGCTGGGAAAAACATTTTCGGTTTAACAACAGTCATATCCATGCTATCGGAACCACTTAGATCAATTACTGACCAGCACTGTCACCTCCAAAACTTTTTGATAAAATTCATACGTATGCTTTCATAATTGTGCTTAACTTTATTTAAGCTTGAATCCACAACTTGACTGCCATTCTCTAGCTGAGGATTAACATTTACTCAAAATTTTTGCGCTGCGGGCTGCAATTTTTCTTTGTTTTCATGCATAAACATACACTTATAAGTACTTACTTATGCATATATATTTTGTGAAACATTTTGTATAAGCTTATAATAAAAATTTTTATATTACCAAATATTTGTAAAATTTGCAAATTTTAACTACTAAAAGCGAGGAACAACAAGGGAGCATAAAATTTGAGTATACAAATTAGCAACGTGTGATGGTATTAAAATTAGAGATTTCCTAAAGATTTTTGCAATTTCAACTTAAAAAAGAATTTTTATATCACACTGTGGAAAATTTTTTTTAAGAAAAATAACTTAAGCATACAATAATTACAAATAAAAACTTTTAACTGCATATGCATAAAGTTTGCCTCAAATGAGGTTATAACAAATACCTTGGGTCCATTTTGGCCACCAATTTCTGTGTGCCTTTTTTAACATACAACTAAAATACCTTAAAATACCCAACTTATTTCCTCAACTTACAACAAACTGTGTGCTTAAGAGGGGGGGGGAGGCAAAAGGAAATTGAACAACAAATAAAGATAAATGTTGTTTTGTGTCCGTCCGTCAACATCGAAGCATGCCGTCATTCGCTTTCATACCCGCGCTTCGTAGCCACATCAATAGCTGCATCTACGCCACTATCGTCAACGCCACCACCGTCGATACCATCGACACTACCACTTCGCCCACCAACAATTTGCAGCCAAGCCAAAAGCAATTGTAATGCCGGCCATAGCAGTACCAAATTTCAGATGTCAGTATTGATACTTATGCGTGTCAAGAACTCGCCCTGCGAATCGGCGACAGCGCGTATAATTTCCAGCAGCAGCTCACGTGAGAGCGCACCAATTTTAGGCAAACGCGCTACTTTGGTGAAATCCTTCACTATCAAACGCAATGCATAATCTTTGATGTCGTAAATTTTTGTTATATCCGATGCTTCTAATGTTTGCAGCACATTCTCATAGGTGATGTTGTGTTCTAGTGAGTACTTGCAAAAGGCGGCAAGCCGATTGTTGGCTAGACCATAAAAGCATGGCGCTTGAAATAGATACAATGCATCTTGTGGCGGCATTTTCGTCTCGCCATAGTAAATGTAGCGTAGCAGCGATTGAAAAGCCTCCTGTGAGGGTGAAATTTCGCCTATTTGGATCTGCAGAGGATATAGGGAGTGACATGAGCATTTTAGTTGCAAACATCGCTTGATTCAACTTACATTTACTGTATTATCGGGCGGCATAAAGGACCTAAACATGCCCTGGAAGTAGGTACAACGTGCCGATAATATCGACTTATGCGCTGGCACAACTTGACCATCCAGTATGAGATTTATATCGCAAAAATCCTTGCCAGTCGACTCCAGAAAGAGAGCCATATCGCTCTCCAGAGTGGTGCCTGCTGGATGAAAATGGTATGAGCAACAAAATAAATTTGAATTTATAAGCAACGCACCATCACTTTTCTCAAAATTGTTTTCCATGACGATCTTGCTGGGATTAAGGCGCCTACGCACAATTTCAACTATCAAACTCTTATCCAAATCACCAAATTCGCTGGACATTACCACGTCAGTATAGTTTTCATCCTTAATAATGAATTGCATGCAGTGGTCCTTGATGATTTGTATTCTGGAATGAATAGAAATGTAAAAAAGATAAGTAATTTTTAAGCAAAAAACAAAACCGACTTCAATTCTCATATACAAATTTAAGATTTAAACCAAATTAGTATGGGACCACCTGTGAGGTTACACCTTTTCTTTCAAAAAAGAAGTGAAGTCGGTTAAAAATATTTAAATAGAAAGCAAGCTTATTTTCCCCACTCACTTATTCTTGTCCGCATTGTAGAGCGCTTCCAGCACATTCTGCTTGTTGATCTTAAAATCCAAATACTGTATACATCCCTGCGCCAGTCGCGGCATAAGAAATCTGCCCGCCAACTGGTATATATCAGTTATCAATATAATTATATTCTTGCTATATGACTCCTTCAAGTCTATGCGATCCGTGTAAATGTAATTCAATATAATCTCGAAAGCCTCTGGCGACGCCTGCGCCAATCGCACCTCCAGCATGGGCGCGCGATCACCACCACCTGTACCCAATGCGCTATGTATATCCATATTCGGCCCGAAAACCTTTTCCATTTGCTGTTGGCGCGCATCACGCGCTGCTAATATCTTGGTACGCAAGTGTTTCGAACGCGCTGCCACAAACGCGATATGCGCCAATATGTTAATCTCTTCGGGGCCAACAATGAATTGTATATCGCAAAATTGTTTATCGTGAAAGAATTTGCCAAAGTCATCGCGCAGCGTACATTTTGGATAGCTAGAGAATTGAAAGCGATAAGTGTCACCGCGACGTACGCTGTTGTCGACAGTGCCACCAAAAATGTACATAGCATCAGCTATGACAGCGCTGGCATGAAATACACGGCCGGAGGGTACATCGGAATTCGGCTCTGGTGTGATCACCGACCACAGTTGTGAGTCCAAGTCGAAACAATGTAGATCGTTGGGTAATGTTGAGTCTGCAGACCCGCCGAACACGTATAGAAAGCGATCGTGATGCACCATAGTGTGGCCATAACGACGCGAGGGAGGCGCCGAAGCGGCACCACGCAACACAGACTCATTGGAGATGCGACGCCAGCTGCAAGCCAGGAACTGTATGAAAATTAAGAGCTCTTTTTCGACTTTTTACTTACGTTTTTGTTTTAAAATGAAATTCGAAGAGTGAATTGGTGATCTGCAGACCACTTTGGCCGGAAAACACATACATGCAGTCGCGCGCAACGGCGACGGGAAAATTGCAGCAAGTGGGTGGACGTTCTCCCTTCTGCTCGACCTCTTCCCACTGATGGTTTTCGCCCTAATAAGAATGTATACGGTATAAAATATATTTCCAATAAGCAAAAGTATACGCACAGTTAAATTGAGCGTCCACATATCGTTTAGGCGTGCATTACCATCATATCCCGCATATATCCACATCTTGTTGTCGTAGACGGCGGCGCCATGCGCTGAGCGAGGTACTGGCATTCTAAAAATATGAGAAAATACAGAAATTAATTGATTGCATTTGCTTGCTTTTTCCTAGCACCTACCTTCCTGAAAACTTCCACTCGACCCACATTGCACTCTGAAACTTGTATTCGAACAAGTCATTTTTGTTTGTCAGATTAGAATTTGAATGTATATCGCCTGTGTAGCCACCAAATATGAACATTGAACTGCCATACACAACTGCCGAGTGATGGTAGCGTGGCGCCGGTGGCGTGCCTGTAGCACAAGCGCGTCCCCACGACTTATCTTTAACGCCAAAACGTATTAAATCGTTGAGCATCGTCTTGCCATTATCACCACCGAAAACAAACATGGCATCCTTATATGCCACCACAGTGTGCTTGCTGCGCCTGTAATTGTACAATAAAAATTCCAATAATTAAGCAAACTACTATGTACGAAAAATATGTAAGCCACACTTACTTGGCACCTACAAATTCGGCGCACTCGAGCATTTTGGTCCACTGATGTGTTGCCGTATACGAACTGAAATCTACATTCAAGGCATTTAAGCTATAGCTCCCCGGCGAGATCGACTTGCAGCTAGCCACATCGTACATGCAAACAGCGCCACTGCTGCGGCAACTGCTGCCACTACTGCCGCGCATTGAACTGGAATTGGAGTGTGACATTTTGCTGCGCGATGACGAACTCTTTCGACTCTTACGACTGCCTGTATTGCTGTGGCACCTGTCCGCAGACGCCTGACAGGCAGAGCAGTAACCACTGGAGTTCGAGGAGGACAGGTTGCAGGTAAAACCGCCACCGGCTCCTACAGTGCCACAAGCTGACTGACTACAATTGCTACCCGTGCCAATAGCAGTGCTGCATGCAGCGTTCAGACTGTTCGAAACAGAGCTAGATGTTAGGCTGCCACTACCACTAACGCCGCCGGTTCCAGCGCCCGCACCTCCACCCCCACTTCCGCCCCCACCACTGCTGCCACTGCCGCTGCCGCCACCTGTGTCTTCTGTTGATTCTGTGGACTCTGAGCCGAGCAAAGCTTTCAGCATTAACGAGTTACAGGTGTAGAATCTCCTTCGTTGGCTTATTTTGCTGGCCGTTTCGTGACTTGTACAGAGTGAAAAATTTTAGAAGTAAACCAAAAAAAGAAAATAGCACTAATTTGATGCTATTAGTTAACGCCCACGCACTTCTTAAGCAGGGCTCATGTAACGCAAGGAATACACATACGCACAGTTGCACCTACAATTGGAGCAGCCAGCCAAGCCACAATTCTTAAATCCCTGCGCTTCGCGCTGTTCCATGCAAAATATGCGGTGAAATTGTTTTGCTAGTCACTTTTTAGATTGTTTGCAAGCAATTTGGAAAATTTTCACAGCAATCACTTTTTTCTAAAGCTATTTTTCCAACCGCTTTGTCTGTATACCAAAATGTAAATCCCCAGTAAACCCCCACAAACTCGTCCCGAACAAAATTGGTTAAAATTTATGAATGAGTTGACAGTTCGCCTTGTGCCAAAGAACAGCTGAGCGGCAGAGCTGCCAATTATTTATTTAAGGAGTTAAAACCAGGTACATATTTGGGAATTCCAAGTTTCGCGGAATCCGAACATATTCTAGTGTTTTCAAAAAAAATCGATAGCTTTATTAAACAAAAAATTTTGCGTTAAATTTGTTTTAAAATAGTTACAAAATGAAAGTAAATATTTTTATTCCAACTGATATGTTGAATATACACATGGTGAAATTAAAAACAGGTGTAGTAGTAGATGTAGGTGTCTAGACGCCAGCTATTCAGCGACCAAAAGAATTTTTCACCACAAAGATATGACCCCAAACTGAGTCCATTTCAACTTATTTCACCCACAGCAGTAATTTGTCTACGTTCACCAATAGCAAACTAGCATGGTTATTTGTGTGTGAAAATAAAAATAAAAATTCTTTAAATTGGTTTTTTGCGATAACGAATATTTTCTAATATTTTTTGGAAATATCTTTTTATACTTGCATTTAACATTTTTTAATAAAACAAAAAATTTCTCTTTTCATAAATTTTGGTTTTGGCAAACATTTTCTTCTTATATTTCAAAAAAATAAAAAATTAATAAAACAAATTTTTTCTCATTTCATAGCATCTTTATTTGATAAAATTTTATTTTTGGTCATTTTCGCTCTACATAAATTGATAAAATATCAAATATTTCCGCTAAAAATTATTTAAAAATGCTACTTAGAATAATGGAAAGAAAGCAAAGAGGAAACTGTGAACAGGATTTCGTTTATAA